CCCAGAACAGAAATTCAAGATCTGTCAGAAGCAACCACCGCATAGCAAAGGCTTATCCCAGTGCAAAAATAATGGTATCTCTTAAAAGTCAGTTAACAAAAAAAGGTAAATAGGAAAGTTTCTGTAGTAGAAGAGCAGCAGGAAGTGGCAGATGAGATATTTTATGCTTATTGACAAGAAAACTAGTGTTTTTTTTCCTGGAAAATCACAAGTAGTGGTCAGAAAATAGAATGAACCACTGATACTGCTCAAGTATGTTTTTCAGTGCAGAGCAAGTGGAACCAGATCTGCAGAGTATCAGTGTTATCCCATTCATTAAGCTATGCCTACAATTTAACTTACAGTAAAGGTTACTATCCCTATAAAGAAAATGGGCTAACTAGAAAAACAGTTTTGCTGCAATTAAATTACTGAGCTTCCTTTGCAGATTATACAGAAACAAAAATATGTTGTTTAGGATGTAGAGTTGCATGCGTGTACCCTGTGAATATCCCTTCGAGAGCATCTTAAATGCAATGCTTAAGATTGGTCTTCAGCTTGTTGTTGTGTGCCTTCAGTTAAGTATGCGATAGGGCAATTAGGAAATGGCAGATGATAAACATCTTCAAAGTCTAAACTCGTTCAAGTTCCAGAAAGCAAAAGCTTCATCTGAACTAGAATAACTGGTTTGGTCCTTGAAACCATCGATGAAGTCTAGCATGCAAGCCTCACAGGATGACCTCTGAGAAAAGCATCACAGTCTGGCAACGAAACCTTTTCAAACGGAAGCAAGACTTGCCGATTGGAATTCTCTTTTTTCAGGGAGCCCCACAGAAGTCGTCTTTGCCTTATGATCAATTTTAGATCAGCCATGACACTAGGCTTAAGAATTAATTTCCTAACTGTATGTATACTGCTCACTGAACCGATTGACTTCTGCTTTTCTCCTGGGCTCTTGTAAAGGTCTGTGTTCTACACACATTACTAAATGTATCTGCATAAAGCATTGAGGGGTCCTAGATCCCTCTGGAAACAGTGGGGCTCAGAGCTACGCTCGTGCAGTGTCCAACCTGGGATCTGCTCTTACCCTGCGGCCTGAACTCTTAACCTTCATCAGCCTTTGATCCGCAGAGCTCCTGCCATTCATCTCAATCACAACAATGAATGATCAGCACTCCTCAAAATCAGCCCCGTGCTGGTTTCAAGTGCTCAGGAAATGAAAACTGTAAGGACCGCCCGTGAAAAGTTTGGGTCAAGTGATTTGCCTCATGTCGTACAGACTCGGGGGTAAGAGCTGAAACAGAGCTCTCCACGGAGGTTTTTCTCCTGCTGAATGACATTCCCACAACCTGCATTCCTGACTGCATTCCTGATCTCCTTAACTAGCCGGCTTCTAGGGGGAAATCTCTGATCCAAAGTATGTTCACCGCAGCCTTTAGTTCCTTAATTCCTTCTGGCCTTTGGGAAAAAGTGAAGCTAACCATTGAGACTGGTGCCATGACCATCCACCCTCCCTTAAGCAGGTGGTTTACCTTCGGGGTAACTCTTTCCAACAACTTAATTTCTTAATGTGCCTACACAAGACAGCTCCAAAAGGGAGCAAGTTCTGGGTTACTGCAGCGTTTCAGCAAGGGGAGAGCTTTAGATTCCTGATGGAGAAACCTTTGCCTTGACCTATCAGTGTATGCAGGTCAGCTACTAGCTGGGATGGAAGCACAGCCTGTGCACTGGATGTGAAGTGCTGACAGCAGAGGAGTGATACACTGCATTGTTATTGTCCATTGCAAGCTGAGAGAGTGTGAAATAATGGTTTTAGAAACCTTGCCCTTTCATCCCAGGCCTTGAGTCCTATGGGAGATTACATGAAGGGAACACATTCCCTGAAACAGTCAATTTTAAAGCTGTATTTCTTGTAGATTACATGCAGTCTAGTGAAAACAGGAGTGACTGAACAGGGGCTTACATCGTGGCAGGGGTTGGAACTGGGTGAGCTTTGAGGTCCCTTCCAACACAAACCCTCGCATGTTACATGGCAGTCTAATGGACGGAGCATCCCTAGGTTTGGTTCCTCTGGGTGGATCCCTGCCCTGCAGCAGCCCGGGGCAGGCAGGACCCGCTCCTCGCTTGGAACGGAGGCGGCAGGAGGCGGGTCCGCCTCGTCCCGGGGCACCCGCAGCTCAGCTCCGTTAATGCTGCGGGCTTCCCTGCCTGAGCACCAGCTGCACGTCACCGGGGGCCCGCCACCGGCCCCGCGCGGCACCAGCACTGCCCGAGCGCCCCGAGGCGCCGGCAGCTCCCGCCGAGGGCTGCGCTGTGGGAGCGGGATCCCCCCGGCAGCTCCCGCCGAGGGCTGCGCTGTGGGAGCGGGATCCCCCCGGCAGCTCCCGCCCAGGGCTGCGCTGTGCGAGCGGGATCCCCCCGGCAGCTCCCGCCCAGGGCTGCGCTGTGGGAGCGGGATCCCCCCGGCAGCTCCCGCCCAGGGCTCCGCTGTGGGAGCGGGATCCCCCCGGCAGCTCCCGCCCAGGGCTCCGCTGTGGGAGCGGGATCCCCCCGGCAGCTCCCGCCCAGGGCTCCGCTGTGGGAGCGGGATCCCCCCGGCAGCTCCCGCCCAGGGCTCCGCTGTGGGAGCGGGATCCCCCCGGCAGCTCCCGCCCAGGGCTCCGCTGTGCGAGCGGGATCCCCCCGGCAGCTCCCGCGGCCGGGCCCCGTCGAGGGGCGGCGGTACCGGAGCGGGGTCCGGCCGGGGCGGTGCAGCCGCAGGCACAGCGCGCCCCCTGGCGGCTCCGCGGCGGCTCTCCCGCTTCACGTGCCAGTACCCAACATGGCTCCTGCGCCCTCAGCGCCCGCGCGGGGGTGCTGCCCTCCCTCAACATGGCCGCCCTCTGCCATAGTGCAGAGCAGGGAGCATAAAGCGCTGCGGCTCCCACGGGGCTGAAGTCAGGGGCTCACCCGCTCTGCTGCACCCCCCCTCAGCATAGAGTCAACCAGCTTGGAAAAGCCCTTTCAGTTCCTCCAGTCCAACCGTTCCCAGCACTGCCAAGGCCACCCCTAACCCATGGCACTGAGGCCTCGTCTCCACACTGTGTGAACACTTGCAGGGATGATGACTGCAGCCCTGCCCTGGGCAGCCTGTTCCAATGCCTGAGCACCCTCTGGGGCAGGAATTGTTCCTCAGCTCCATCTAAACCTGCCCTGGTGCAGCTTGAGGCCGTTTCCTCTTGTCCCATCCCTTGTTCCTTGGGAGCAGAGCCCAGCCCCTCCTGGCTCCATCCTCCTGTCAGGCACTTGTAGGGAGCCATCAGGACCCCCCTGAGCCTTCTCTTCTCCACACTGAACCCCCCAGGTCCCTCAGCCCTTCCCCATCACCCCTGTGCTCCAGGCCCTGTACCAGCTCCGTTGCCCTCCTCTGGCCCTGCTCCAGCACCTCAAGGTCTCTCTTGTAGTGAGGGGCCCAGAGCTGAAAGCAGGATTTGAGGTGTGGCCTCACCAGTGCCCAGTGCAGGGGCACAACCACTGCCCTGGCCCTGCTGCCGCACTGGTGCTGATACAGGCCAGGATACTGGGGGCTTCCTGGCTGCCTGGGCACAAGCTGCTCATGTTCAGTTCCATCAATCAGCATCCCCAGCTCCTTTCCCATGAGCAGTTTCCAGCCGCTGTTCCCCAAGCCTGGAGCGTTGCAGGGGGTTGTTGTGGCCCAAGTGCAGGACCCGGCACTGCCTTGTTCAACCTCATCCCATTGCCCACAGCCCATGGATCCAGCCTGCCCAGATCAGTCTTGGTGTCATTGCCCAGTTCCCCCCTCCCCACCGCCTAAGCTCCTTCTTGGCTCAAGTGGTCCTTCGGTCCCCTCACTATCACCTGCAGCCCTATCCCCAACATTAAACACCTTTAATCTGGTAAAATGGACTCTCTGCATCCTGGGGCCTCTCCTGGGCCACTGGCCCATTGGGAAGACCCCTGCCTGCCAATCTGCTCTGTCCTGTGGCACAGCCGTCGGTCCATGCCGGAGCTGGCAGAGCATAGAGACGGATGTGGGAGGTGAGCTGTTCACTGCTGATGAAATTTGGGCTGTGGGACTGCTTGCTTGGCCTGGGAACATTCCTGGCCCATGCAATGCTTTCAGCTTACTCCTTGCATGTGGAGTAATGGGTGTTACTACACACCCCATCCTGCAGTGCTCAGGACCCTGCGCCGACAAGTCCTCGCAAATCATGGAGCTTGTTCCATGGTTTGTGCCAAAGCTGTTGTTACTGGTGTGGAATAGGATCAGCTGCCAGGGCTGAAGCTTCTGCCTAGCCTGGCAGTTGCTGCGTCACTGCAGGTGCTGTCACCTCCCTGTCAATCAGCTTTCCTGGCTCCTTTGTAAGTGACAGATCCCAGAGGTCCCCCGAGATCCCAGGCAGTGATAGAATCACAGAATGGTTTGGGTGAGAAGGGACCTTCAAAGCTCATCCAGTCCAACCCCTGCAATGGGCAGGGACATCTCCAACCAGACCAGGTTGCTCAGAACCACATCCAGCCTGGCCTGCAATGTCTCCAGGGATGGGGCAGCCACCACCTCACTGGACAACCTGTGCCAGGATTTTACCACCCTCACTGTAAAAATGATGGAGCATGTCACTGACATGGGCACGTCCATCCTGCACGCTGGGTCACCAGGGGCTGTGCCTCTGTTGAGACCTGGTAGGTCACAGCAGTGCTGAGCCCCAGGGGGATGGAAGGCATCGTCCCGTCCATCCGCAGAGGTGCCTCCAGGCCCCAGTCTCGGAGCCGTTCATCTGCTGCCTTAGCGGAGCGCGGTGGCGGTGCCTCTGAAGCACTTAGCACGAAACCACTTTTCCGTCCGTGCTCCGGGAGCGCAGCCGCGGTGCGGGACGTGCCTGCCCCAGCCTGCCCCGCACGCACGGGAAGGTCTCCCCGTGACATCCCCCCCTTCCCTGCGCTCGGGCTGCCCCCGGGCCCCTTCCCCTCTGTCCCGGGCGCGGGGCCCGCCCCTGCGCGGCGCTGCGGGCGGGACCGGCCCCTCGCGGGCCCCGAGCGCACCCAGGCGGGTGTGAGCAGAGCGGGGCCGCCCAGCGCGGAGCCCGGCCCCGCGGCCGCGGGAGCGCAGCGTCGCGGGAGCAGCCGCAGGTACTTTGGTCCCGGGGGAGCAGGGGGGATCTGGGCCGGGGGAGCGGGGCTCGAGGGCACTGCTCTGACCGCGCGGCTCTGCCCGTGGGGCCAGGGCACGCTGGGGCTCGGCATCAGCTCCTGCCCGGTGCCGCCCGGCCGGGGCTGGCTCGGCTCCGCAGGGCAAGCGGGTCTTGCCCTTGGGCTCTGGCTGTGCTGTGCCAGCGCCGCGGCGGGGGTGCGAGTGCGTGCTGCCGGGCCGGTGGCTACGGCAACGGGTTTGTCACCCCCGCAAGCCCGCTGTGCCCCCACGCTAGGGCCGGGGGGGGTGTTTTGGGGGAGCTCCTGACAGAGTCCCAGCACCCCTTGGAGCCAGAGGCCAGAGCAGAAGCTGAGCAGGGTCAGCTGCATGCTTAGCCTAGCTCTGGTTAGGACCTGCACCCTGTACAGGGGTGGTACGCAATAACTGCTGCTGCTGCTGCTGCTGCAGTTCCGCTCAGAACTGGGGACGAGTGTTGGCATTTTCCTCCGAACCCTCCAGGCAGCACCGTGGTGTAGGTTTGTGGCCAGCCCCACACCACCCCTCTGTCAAGCTCCAGTCCTGGCAGCAATAGCCTCTTGAAGCAGCTGAGTGCTGAAGTTCCGCTGGTCCCCACAGCCACTCCTGCTGTACTTTGTACCCTGTGGGAGCCAAGCCAGGCAGGGTTTCCCTGCTCTGCCTGTGTGAGCACTGAGAGCGGGACAAGGCAAATCCCAAGGGATGCTGGCTGAGCCCAGGTGGAAGCGGTGTCCTCTGCTGCTGGTGACAGCGGGGATATTAAACGGCAGCCAGAGCCCCTGGGCATCAGGGAGGGAAACTGCCAGTCCCAGGGCTTCCAGTGCCTGCATTAAGGCTGGCTTCTTCGGTGGGATCACTGAGTAGGTCACAGCTGCTGATCTGGTCCCTAGAAGATGGAGGGGGCAGCAGATGTGGCCACCGCTGTGCTGCTCCCCATCCCCTCACCTTGGCTGCCTGGACCTTATGCTGGCAGCCCCAGAACTCCTCCGCCTCTGCAGAAGCTGACTGGGATGGGGGATCCAGCTCTTGGGCTGGTACCTGGCTGTGCGTGCCCCAGTGACTGCTGCTCTGTGTGGGTTCAGGGAGGAATCTCTGCACCCCAGCCCTGGACACCAGTGTACTAGTGGTATTTGAGAGCGAGGTGCTGCCCTGGGTGCTGCTGTGGAGGAGACCAGGCTGACCGTAGCCATAGGCAGGGCACAACAGAGCAACTCTGGTGTAGCTGGCAGGGGCTGGGAGGGCCTGGGCTAGCTCTGCTCCCCTTCTCCAGGTCCCTGGCTGGGATGGGACACGGCTGTGCTGGGCACACCCTTGTCCCCAGCACTGAGAGGATGTGGTCAGCTGGCTCCCATGGCTGGCTCAGTGGTCACAGTGAAATGAGAGTCTGGCTTAATCCGTGGGGTGATTGATAGTGCTGTGTGGGTGCCTGGCCTGTTGGGGAGGTTGGGATGAGGAGGGGCATCAGCTTCAAAGTAGGACAAGCAGTATTAAACATGGGGTTTCTCAGGGTGGATAGAGAGACCTTATGTGGGGCTCCCTGAGTTTTAAGGTCCCTTCCAACCCAAATGATTCCATGATCCTGACTTCCCAGGTTGTCACACGTACCGGTAGGGGCAGGAGCCCCAGACTGTGGCATGGGGCTGTGTGGTCCTTGCAGCTCCTGGGGAGCCTGGGTGCAAGGTTATGTCTAGCTGGACAGCAAGGCTGCAGCCCCTGGAGCCTGCGCGGTGCTCCTGGCTCCCAGTGGAGCACTGAACTCCAGCTGGGGAACAGGCTGTGCTCCTGCCAGCGCCGGGCTTGTTCAGGCTCGCTGAGCAAAGGGTCCCAGGGAGCCTGCTGAACAGGCTGGGCCTGCACCCTGTGCTCCCGCTGTCCCTGGCAATGTGCCTTGCCTGGGGACACAGCCAGCGGCCCCGCTATGCCACGGGGCTCTGGGGCAGCGCTTCCCGGGGTGCCTGGCCTCAGGGTGCTGCAGTGCCCCATCCCCAGGGGCAGGGGTGGTGTGCAGGGAGGTCTGTGCCAACACGCTGTGTGCATCCCGCAGGATTCCTCTGCCTGGCACAGCCCAGCGCTATGGCAGACCCTCCCGGCTGTGGCCGGCCCTGCGCCACGTGCCTGCTCTGCCTCTACAGCTGCCAGTGGATCACTGCCAAGAAGGAGAAGAGGAAGGGCCTGCGAACCACCAAGGTGATACCATGTGGTGGTGGTGATGCTGAGCTGGGGCTTGCCAGCCCCTCTGTGGGAGGATCAGAGTGCTGCTGGGTGGGGAGCAGCTCTGGCTGGGGGGGCTCCACCACTGCCACTGGTCCTGCACAGGGCTGAGCCCCAGCAGAGCTGGGGTGTTCCCTGGCACCCTGGGTGTGCAGGAGCAGCAAGGGGTGAGGCGGCTGTGCTGGGTGACGGCAGGGACACAGCGGTGATGCTGAGCAGTGGCCGTGCCCGCGCTGCAGCAGGGCTCACACGTGCCCGGAGCATGGTGCTCCCTGCGGGCAGGTCCCGGGGTGCCGAGAGCCCGCCGAGGCACGTGGGAGGCACGGCTGCAGGGCTGGGTGTGGGGTGCGGGCAGGGGGTGTCCCTGCCAATTTGTAACTGGGGAGGGGTGAGGCCTGGGATTCTCCAAGGTCTCCAACTCCCATGGGAGCGGCTGTGCCGCTGCTTGTTCTGTCTTGCCTGGAATGTGTGAGCTGGGCTGGGCTGCTGGGTGCCCCACTCAGCACCCCTAGCGCCCCTCACCTCCCCGAGAGCACAGGGCTGGGGGACAGAGACCCTGAAGCTGCGCCCGGCTCCGGCTGGGCACACAGGAGCAGTCTGCAGGTTCCCCACTGCAGTGACAGCTCCGAGGCACAGCACCCTTCTCTTGCAGCCCACAGGTCACCCAGCTGGAAGGGGGCAGAACCCACCCCTTCTCATGTCCAAAGTCCCAGCCTGCTCCCAGGGGCTGCTGCGCGGCGCAGGAGGCAGTCCTGCCACAGGGACTGTCCTCCCCAGCCTGGCATGGGCAGCTGTTTTGCTTGCTGTAGGAGATGCTGGTCCATCTTCCTGTAGCATGGGTCCAGCTCCTGGGGAGCTCCGTTCCCTCTCCATGGGGCAGCTCAGTGAGCCGGTGACTGCTGTGCCACCCTGTGGCTGCAGGCTGGGTGCTCCCCAGGGCTCTCAGAACCTAGCTGGCAGCTAGGTGCCCTGGAGGTGTGTGCATAGGTGTCATCTCTGGCTTTCAGTGCGACTGCAGCTGGTTCCTTTTCCTCTTCTGTGTCTTCCTCTTCACACTGGTGTGGCTGTACTTCGCCATCATCATCCTCAATGATTTCCACAACTTCAATGAGTGAGTAGGATCCCATGTCCAGCCTTGCTCCCCATTCCACCCCTGCTCCTCTGACTGTCCCCTTTGCTGACAGGTTCATCTTCAAGCAGAGGAAGTTGTGGCTGGACTGGTCCCTGGTCTTGCTCATAGCCACAGCTGTGCTAATCACCTACTCCACTGTGCTTCTGGTGAGCCCCACTGGTGGCACTGGGACTGGTGGGGGTATGGGGCTGGGCTGAGCACGGGCTGGCTGCCATGGGGGAGCCCCCAGCATCCAGAGCTGGAGCTGGCTCAGCCTGACCTTGGCCAGCGCCTCTGCCTGTGTCAAGGGGGAAGAGCTCCTGTGGCCGAGTCCTGTGCCCTTAAAGGGCTGAGGTGTGGGGTACAGCCCAGCCCTGACATCTCCTTGCTCTTCTCACAGGTCCTTGCTCTGTGCTTGCAGCTCTGTGGCCAGCCCTTGAAGCTACACTGGCTGCACAAGGTGAGAGACTGGGGGTGCAGGGAGCTGTGACCAGCCTGTGTCACCAAAGGGTGGCTGTGTGTCCCCGCTCACCTGGGCTTAGTGACCCAGGCATCTGTTTCAGATGAGAATATTCCCCTTGCTCAGAGCATGGGGTGCAGAGCTCCTCAAATGGGGGCATTGGGATCTCGGGACTTGCAGGGGCTCAGCTAGGAGCTGGCCTGCAGGATGCTGTGTGCTCCTCTAACTGCCCTGTGCCATGCCCCACAGACCCTGCTGATCCTCACTGCCGTGGTGGTGGCTGCAGCCTTCACAGGGCTGGGAATAAAGTGGGCGGAGGAGTGGAGAAGTGCCCGTACCTCCCTGCAGGTGAGTGCACTCCCCAATACCTGGGACTCCCCCGCGGTACCCAGACTGTGGGGATGAGCTGAAGGGTGGCGACTGGAGCCCCCAGCATGGCTCTGTGCCATGGGGATTAACTCCCTGCCCTTGATTCTGCTGCCTGGCAAGGCAAGGCACTGCTCCTGCTCTTGCAGTCCTGCCTGCAGCGCTGCAGTCAGGGGGAGGAATGGTGGCTGGATCAGTGGGAAGTCTGTTCAGATCCCCCCCAGGAGCCCATTCCCTCCCTGGCACTATGGCTCTTGCAGCGGTGGCAGACCCCTGGCATTAGAGCATGTGGGGTTTGGGGACAGGGGCTGGGCTGCTGCTGGCTGACGCCCTCCTTTGCCTCTCCAGGCAACAGGTCCCTTCCTGCACATTGGAACTGTGGGGGGAATGACACTCCTTGCCTGGCCCCTGGCCAGCTTCATCTACCGTACCCGCAAGACAGGTAATGTCCCTTCCAGGGTCTCCAGCTCCCACCTCACCTGCTGCCCTGCTTCCTTTCACCCAGCGGAGAGGCACTGGTGGCACAGTGGTGCACAGAGAGCGTAGGAGCAGTGGGAAGAGGTCCCCAGCTCTTAGTCTGGTAGTAACACCTACTTCTGGCTGCTGCTTCTCCTGCTCAGTGTTGGGGGTGGTTTCAGCCCTTGCTGAAGGAGGGCTATGGATTGCAGACTGAGTCCTGCAGAAGTGCTGGACTGGAGTGCAAGGACATGTAGTGGGTCAGGAATAAATCTGCAGTGTTCCTGAGGCTGGGGATGCAATGCCTGACCTAGGGGCACCATAAGTTAGTGCCAGGTGAAGCCACCTTGGCTTATTCCTGACAGGCCACAAAACACTTCCTCTGCACCTCACCCCTCTGTCTTCTCTGTCTCTGCCTGCAGGTCTCAAGGTGTTTCTGCTGATTCTGTATTGCATGGTGATGATCGTGCTGTATCTGGCTCCCCTGGGGATCACCTCCCCTTGCATCATGGAGGAGAACCAGCTGCCCCCCAAGCCGGCCCTGGTTGGCCACCGAGGAGCACCCATGGTGAGTGACCAGCACCGGCAGCATCCTGGCACATGGGCAGGGTGGATGGGGCCAGTGAAAGCCAGGCTCTGCCTGGCCGGGGGTCACCAGCATCAGACCCTTGCTGCTGCAGGCCTGAATGAGTGCTGGGGTCCCCGCACCAGCCGGGGCAGCACAGAGTTGGAGATGGATGAGCATGGGGTGAGGAAGGCAGAGCTGTTTGCTGAGTGCTGCTGGACCAGGAGCTGGCAACCCTCAGCAGAAAGCCTGGCTATGTGGCGTTGGCTGGGAAGCAGGGACTAGGCAGGCTCTGGCTGTCTGCACCCAGCCTTTTCCATCCTCCATGTCTCATTGTGGCTGCTCTAGAGTCCAGGCAAGCTGCTGGATGCAGCCAGACGGAGCGAGTGCCTGCATCCTTCCCCTTCCTGCCCCTGGCCTCTGCACTAACATTATTTCTACCATTCCTTTTCCAGCTGGCCCCCGAAAACACCCTCATGTCACTGCAGAAGGCAGTGGACTGCAATGTGCAAGTCTTTGAGACAGACATCATGGTGAGGTAAAGAGGCAGCAGGGGCTCAAAGGGAGGAAGGGGCCTGTGTATGCTGGGATGTCACCTCTCATGTGGGGTGTTCCAGAATACACCTGGAGGTCTGGTACAGCCTGTATCTGGAGCAGCCCTGTTTAAAGGGCTCTGCCATTCCCACCTTGCCAGGATGGGACTGGCTCCAACTTGATGTCCCAATGATCTGGGAGAGGTCCTGGGTTTCTGTCCTTCCCATGCAGGTTGTCTTCCAGGGCATTAGTAGGGAGGTACAGCTTGGAAAACAAACTGTGACTCTAGTTCATCTTATGTAATCCTGTTACAGGAAGAGCTGTTGCAGTGAGCAAGGAATTACTTGGTTCCTGGCTTGGTCTCCAGGTGCTCTGTACCTTCCAGACACTCACCTTTTTGTGTAGAGGACCACAAGTAGGCATAAGGGTGGGGGTTACCATAGCAGGGTAGCTTGGGAGGGGGCAGAAATGCCAGGGCAGGGACAGGAGAAAACAGCTTGCAGCACAGAGCTTCCCTCTTTGCTCCTTTGCCAGTGCTGACGGGGTCCCATTCCTCATGCATGACGAGGAGCTCACCAGGACCACCAACGTGCAGGATGTGTTCCCTGAGAGGGCTGCCTTGAACAGCACCGCCTTCAACTGGACAGACCTGCAGCAGCTGGATGCGGGCAGCTGGTTCCTGGAGGTCAGGATGCTCCTGGGGTGGCTGGTCAGGGATGGGTGAAGCAGGAGCACTGGTCCTGGCAGACACCTGGACATGGTGCAGAAGCACTTCCATGCCTGCACTAATCCTCTGGGTGCGGTTCTGCCCCAAGCTGGGGTTTGTTCTGACTCCTCAGCTGAGTCACAGAGGAGGCTGGTTTGAGGGGGGATGTCTCGTGTTCGCTCCGTGCTGCACAGCCTGCCTGGGCTTGGAGGCAGCTGGAGCAAAGCTCTTCCCAAAAGGTGACTAACCAACTGCTGAGCTGCTTGAAGTGTGCTGTTAGTGGGGAAGAGGGTAGAGGTGCCCCATGGATGTGCAGGGAAGCATCCCTGTGCCTGTCTGCATGTGGACAGGCCAGGGTGGGGAACTGAGAGCCTGGGATGGGCACCAGTCTGGGAGGTGAAAGCTTATGGTGGGGCTGCCCGTGACCGACTCTTGCCCTTGCAGCGGAGGCCGTTTCCCACCGTGCAGAGTCTCTCTGCTGGCGATCGCTCCTGGGCGACTAAACAGAGGATCCCATCCCTGAAGGAGGTGCTGCAGGCAACCAAGCAGAGCAACCTCTCCATCATGTTTGACCTCCGGCCCGAGAACCACAGTGACTACCAGAGCTTCGTCAATGCCACCCTGGAAGTGATCTTAGAGTCAGGCATCCCACTGCAGCAGGTGAGCTGGCCACAGCCCTGCTGTCACTGAACATCCCTGCCACCCCATACCCACATCTCATATGTGATGAGTGCTGGCCGGCCATGGCATTTTCTAGCTGGGAGAAGTTGCCAGTAATCAGAGGGTTAATGCCCACAGCTTCAGATACCTGAAATACTCTGGTTCCCCAGCACTGGCCACCCTGGCGTGCAAACAGTGACTCAGTCTAGGGAGGGGAGCAAGAGTGCCAGCAGGGGCAGGAAAACAATGCTCAGGCTTCCACTCACCACGCTGGGCCACACCTCTCCCTGCAGCTCTTGGACTCCTGCAGCAACCTCCTGTGTTCCCTTTGCACTCCATCTAACCTCTGCAGCACAGGAGATGTGCTGCCCTGAGGGGATGAGTTAGCACCCAAATGGTGCTTTCCCTTCTTGGCTTTTGGGGAATGGATAGCTGGAGGGGATGCAGCAAAGGCTGTGATGTAGTGTTGATCCAAGATGCACCCTTGCTGCAGAGTTGGGGACAAAAGGATGTGCTGCTTGATCCATTCAAGGACCCAGAAAGGACATAACTGCTGCAGCTTTCTTAGGCTGGAACTGCTTCCTCCCCTCAGTGGGGTCTTGGCTGAGACAAGCTCTTAGGAGACTGGCCTGGCTGAGATCCTCATGGAGGAGCTGAGCATAGAGACAGGCAGGGAGCAGCTGTCTGTGCAGGCCATGTGTGCCTGAACCAGCTCTCTGGAGCACCTCTCCTCTGCATGTGCTCTCTGGCTCTTGCCTAGGTCCTCTGGCTGCCGGATGGCTTCCGGGAACAGGTCAAACAGCAAGCCCCAGACATTCAGCAAGTTTACGGACGGAAGAGACTCCAGGATGAGAAGGAGCCGCTGCTGCATGTGAATCTGCCCTACCAGGACATGAGCTCTGAGGAGATCAGGTGAGAGCTCTGTGCCCAGGAGCTGTAGGGTCTGAACACTCCCCCAGCTCTGTCCTAGGGGCTGGCAGAGGTGGGGGCCAGCTCAGGCCAGGTGCTGGGAATGCGTGCTGCAGCCTTACGACAAGCATGCTTTATTAGGCAGGGCTGTTGCAGGGGATGGAGCTGGCTGCAGTCCTCTGCCTTGCCAGCAAATCCACCCCGGGTCTGGCTCTCCAGACAGTTGTTCCATGTGCCTGCAAATGCTGGATCACATCCCAGATATACAGTCCTCTCTGGCTGTACACTGTGCTGGCACCTTGCTGTCTGCTGCTCTGACCGCGGCTATCCCTATGTAGGCAGTACCATCGGGACAACATCTCTGTCAACCTGTATGTGGTGAACCAGCCCTGGCTCTTCTCAGTGCTGTGGTGCTCTGGGGTGAGCTCTGTCACCACCAACGCCTGCCAGGTGCTGAAGGAGATGAAACGCCCCATCTGGCTGCTTGTAAGTGACCCCTCCATCCTTCACCATGCCCCACAGCCCTGTGCCTCAGGCATCTGGGTCCCTTTTCTGCCCCAGCTCTGGGCAGCCAGCTGCCTGCAGGATGGGTTTTGCTCAGTCCTGTGCTGGCACGGAGCAGAAGGGATGCTGGCACACCACCCCTGGCTGGGGCTTATGGCTTGTCTCGTTTCCTTGCAGCCCAGCAGCACGTACCTCATGATCTGGGTTGTTGTGGACTGCGCTTCCTTCCTCACCATCCTCTGGGCCTTCTTCTTGCTCAAGTACGTTGGATCCCTTTCCCCCCTTGCACGGGCAGCCTTGTTGGGGGAGGCTGTAGCGTGCTCCGGGTGGGTGGTACACACTCAAACATGGTTGTAGCTGCTGCCACCCCTCTCTGAACTGAGATCCTGGGGGGGCGCTTCTCCTGTCTGGATAAGTGAGAGAGCAGTGTGGAGGCAGCTTTCACCACCAGGCTGCAGCTAAAACTCTGGCCCGACCCTTCCTCAAGCCACTGGATGCCTTAGTTCACGTTTAGTGAATGCTCTGCACCCCAGGGCTTGGTGGGAGGAGGCTGGGAGACCTTGGCCCTGCTCCTTTAGCAGTGCTGCAGACACAGAGAGCTGATTCTAGTGGAACTCTTTTGTCCTGGGGGGCCCCACACTCTCCATCTGGGAGCTTGGAGGATGGGCAGGGAGGCCAGCCTGACATGCTAACATCGATCCTATTCCATCTCCTAGGAAATGCTCACAGAGAAGACGGGCGGCGGGTGAGTGTGCAGGAATGTGAGCAGCCCTCCCTCCCTCCCAGCCCGGCTGTGCCTCCCGAGCAGGCAGCTTTCTCCAGCTGAACGTGACAGAGTGGTTTGGGATGGCCAGGGGAGGGAAGGGAATCCCAGCCCAGGGAGTCCTGCCCTCAGCAAACAGACCTCTGGGGCAGCACTGGGGAATCCCACATTCCCCGGGACTCCTCAAACCTGCTTTTCAGGCTGCTTTGCCTGGGGCTGCGGGATGGTGCCCAGGATGACAGTTTATTTTCTCTTCATCTCCCCAGAGTCCGAGACAGACGTGCTGCTCACAAAGATCAACAGCTTGATGCAGGAGTGATCCCTCAGGGCTGCTGCGGTGGAGGGCAGCCAGAGCCCTGCACCGCTGCAGGAGGGAGCATCCCTCAGGCCAGCTTCGAGTCTCCTTCCTGAGGCTCCCATCCCCTGTAGCCTTCCTGGCTCCTTTCATGGTGCACAACTGCCCTCAGCTGAAAAGGCCTGGAAATGGGTCCCCAGTTCCCACGGGCAGGGAGGAACTGGAGTCTTTGCAGGGGTTTGCTGGGGCTGGCTTGCGCCTGGGGGCTGAGCACTCATTCAGTGGTGCTAGGGCTGAGACCTCTGCCCTGGCCTTTGGTGGGGGTTTGGGTCACTGTTTGGTGCAGGGGAAGGGCAGGCTCTGCCTGTCATCAGCAGCTCTGCAGAGGTGGTGGATGCCCCATCCCTGGAGACATTCCAGGCCAGGCTGGATGTGGTTCTGGGCAACCTGGTCTGGTTGAACGTGTCCCTGCTCATTGCAGGGGGTTGGACTAAAAGAGCTTTGAGGGTCCTTCCAACACGAACCGTTCCATGATGCTAACTCTGCAGCCAGCGGTGGGAAACCTTGTTTGAAGTGCTGCTCCTGGGGCCTGCCCTGCCCCTTAGCCTGAGGAATGGGACAGGGGGGTTGGGGGTGTTTTTTCACTGGCTGCAGGGGAGCTGAGCCCTGCACACCCTTGTGCTGCACACAGGTTCTGCCCCTGCTGCTGCTGCTGCTGGCTTCATGTGTGCACACCAGGGTGTTGGCAGCCCATGCAGCACTTGGTGCCTGTTGCTGTGTGCGGAAGGGAGCAGAGGCTGGGGCTGGTGGCGGCTGGGGTGGCAGGACCACAGTCACGGTCCTGTTGCCCCAAGGCTGCGGGGATGGGCAGGGAGGGGAGTGGTGGGGCTCAGGATGCAGCAGGGCCTGGAGCTTGGGAAGGGGTCGGGTCAGTTTTAGTTGTTTGTATTTATGTCAATAAACCGGCCAAGTGCCAGCCAGCGCCCGCGGGGTGACTCCTCCGGTAACTGCCCCCCGCGCCCCGCCTGGCCCCGACGGCACCGGGCGCAGGCGGCGATCCGCGGCACGCCCGTGCCACCTAGTGACAGCCGGGGGAACCGGGCCGGGCCGGGCCCTGCCGGGGCCGGGAGGCCGAGCGGAGACCGCCGGGCGGAGCCGCCGGGCGCGGAGCGGTGCGGGTGCGGTGCCGTGCGGTGAAGAGCGGAGGTGTCCGGCGGCGGGGGCGCGCTCGGTGCCGGCGCTCCCGGGGCGGTGCCGGCGGGGGGCGGCTCCTCGGGCGGTCCCCCCGGGGCGGGGCGGGGAGGGGCGGGCGGCGGCGGCTCCTCGGGGGCTGGCGCGGAGCGGAGCGGCCGCTGGGCACGGCGGAGCGATGATCCGCAGGGAAGGTAAGGAGCGCCCTGCCCGCCGCGCTCAACAAGTGCTGCCCTGCCCGGGCCCAGCCCCGCGCTCCCGGCCTGCCCTCAGCGCTGCGCCCGGGCGCTGGGAGCCGGGCACCGGGCGCCCCGGCTCCATGCGCTCCCCGGGGGGTGCGGCACGGGGGGTGCTGCGCTTGGGTGCTGCGGGGAGGGCAGGTTGGGGGTGGGCCCCCAGGAAGGGTCTCCTCAAAGTGGGGTTTGCACCTTGAGGCACGGCGAGGTGCGCCCTGGACACCGGAGGCTGTTCGGGTGCTGAGGAGGAGTCCTCTGGGCTCTCTCCCCTCCAGCAGGCCGGTCCCTGGGTTCGGTGGTCCAGGGCCGGTGCTCACTGCTCCAGGCGCCTGTCCCCGGGGCTGGTGGCCAGGCTGCTCGTTGTGTGCAGCTTGGGCTGGGATGTTCACACCAGGTTTGCAGTGTGCGTGTCCTGCTGTGGTGGCCCTGGAACTCCACCTGCTCCTTTAGCTTCTGCTGATAAGGACCGGAGTGACCCGGCGAAGATGACTCAATCCTGCTCAGGGGATGCTGGGCAGCGGCTGAAGACGTTGCCTGATCTTGCAGGGAAGGAAGCCCTTAGTGGCAGCACAGGGCTCAGATGTCCGTAAAACCCAATAAACCTGGAGCCTGGGGAAGTCCCTTGCTTTTCCTGGAGCCAGCATGGAGCTATTCCCGCTTCCCCAGGCTCCTTTCTCTGTTCTGCTCCCATGATGAGCCCATGTGGGCCAGTGTTCCAGGCAGGACCTGCTTCCCCTACAGGCCAAGGAGGAGCTGGGTGGGAAGCTGGCTGTGGGAGCTGGGACAGCAGGTCACACACACCGCAGCAGACACAGGCCCCTTGTTTGGTGACCTGAATTCCCTGCTGGGAGCATTGGGATGAGCAGGGTCACCTTTTCTGCATGAGTTCCTGGGTTAAAAGATGAGTCCCCAGCAATGGCGGGACAGCTCCCGCGTCTCCTCACACAGACGCTCTTTGTCTGCAGGCTGCCTGGGTGACAAAGGGAAATAGGCACTGATAGGGCTGGAACAGGCTCAAGGTCCATGGGAGCTCCCAGCCACCCAGGACATGGGTCACATCTGGAGCTGGGCTGGCAGCTCCAGGCATCTGCCTAGAGGAGCATCGGGGTGTCCTGCCACAGACTGATCTCAGCTCCACTCGGTTGGGTCCGAGGTTGTCTCGTAGCTGTGGTGAGCCCAGGCTTTAATGAAAGCACTGCTTCATGGCAGCCCCCAGCTCCCTTCCTGGCCAGCATCCCTCCTTCCCTGACATCGAGGCATCGTGTTCCTTCCCCTGTGTCTCCTGCTGCCCCAAGGCTGCTTGCTGCATAGAGCAGTTCTTACCTTACACCCTCTAGGAACCCAAGTTTTGCCACTCCTATAGCTGAGCTGCTTGCAAGATCTTGTGCTACATCAGGGGGCTGTGCTCAGCTTTGCTGCAGCCATCTGGCCCCGCAGACTGCAATTGGTAGTGTTCATAGCCCTGTGTAACTGGGACATGTCCAGCTCCTGACCAGCTTCTCTGCCTGGGAGGTGGCTGAGGAACGGCAGCTGCCCAGAGCCACAGGGTTTGGAGATGAATCAAGATGGGTTTAGCCCCTGATTGTCAAGGTTGAGAGAGGCTAGCAGGCAGAACCATCCCCCTTCTGTCCCTGCCCAGCCCTGCCACAGCCCTCACGCCTCACAGCAGGATTTGCTCTTGTAGGGAAGTGTAAGGAGGTGGTTTTGTGGTTGTCTGGCTCTTAAAAACCCAGAGCTGGAAGATAGCTTGAGGCACTGTCTAGGTGAGCCCCTTTGCGCTGCTCCAGGGCTGCACTAGAGCCTTCCCTGCTGATGTCTGTCCATCCATCCTCCAGCATTAAAGCCTTGTTACCCTTGTGTTTCTCTGCAGACACTGAACGGGCAGTGGAAATCCTGAGCAGATACCAAAGCACCCTGCGGTCCCCGGAGGAGCAGGAGCTAAAAGCCTCCATTGGAAAAGTCTCGCACATCTTCCAAAGTGAACTCTTCCAGGCTCTGCTGGGTAAGGCCCAACCTTGCAGTCCCTGGGGCTTTGTGGTCAGATCCTGCATAGGGACCTGTCTCTGACCAGGCTGAGTGCAAACACAGGGGTGCCTGTAACGCTGGGGAGCTGGGCTGTCCTTCCCCTCCAGAGCATGGCCAGGAGATACCCGGGTCAGGGCTGCAGTCAGGTGGTTGTGGACAAAAAGAAAAGCCTTCTGCAGGCCATGCCTCATCTATCCACCACCCACTGAAGGATGCTACTGGGCAGTGCCTGATCTACCCAGCACCCACTAAAGGGTGCTGCAATGCTGTGAGCACTCTCTGTGCATCGCAGGCATGGTGTATCCACAACCACCGTGGGCTTCCAGCTCTGCTGCCATACCAAGGACACCCCACCACGGGGCCTTGCTCCTCTCTGCAGCCCTCAACCCCATCACAACCTGCCAGCCTGGAGGGAAACTAAATTTGTCTGTCTTTGAGAGAGAACCCACACGCACCCAGCTCCTTTTGGGGTATCCTGGTCTTTCCTGCACTTAGACCCACAGGCATTTGGGAGTAACACACAGTGCAAGTGGTTCCATTCCACACAAGAAACCCTTGACAGCAAGGCTCATCCTGGGGCTGGGCACCAGAAAATGCTGGTTTGAGTGTGGCTGTGCCTGTTAGTGCAGAAGTGTTGTGGAGAGCGTGTGTGTCTGCAGAGAGCACATCCTCACACACGCCAGGCAGCACACGCCTGCTGCGCTGGTTTCCCACTCTCCAGCCGTGTGTCCTGGTGTCGCAGCGGCGCTGTGCGAGGGAGTGCCGCTGGGTTGCTGGTGCCCTTCTCGACTGGGTGAACAGGATATGAGTTCCCTTCCTCTGGCTGTGTTTACCTAACGAGGAGTTTGCATTAATTGCTCCTGCCCCCCCGGAGCGTGGGTTTGTGAATTCCTCTGTCCCTGCGTGGACACGGGTGACGCTGTGCTGGCTGCACGTGGTCCCTGTGCCCGCGCACAGCGGGGTCTCTTGGTGTCCACGGTGCAGCCCCGCAGTGACAGCTCTGGGAGGATGTGGAGCGTTTCTGTCTGATTTGCTTTCCCCTGTTGGCAGCGAGCTGCTGTGTCTGTGACCTGCGCCCAGGGCCACGGGGCTGGTTTGGAGCTTGTTTGTGGGAGGATTTGCAGCAGAGCCACGGGTCCGTGTCCCAGTGCCGGGCCTCCCTCTTGCTGCCCCGCACTGTGCCGGATGCTTCCGGCTCTGGAGAGGGCTCAGCCCACAGCCTGCTCTGGTGGAAGGGGTCCCTGCCCGTGGCAGGGGTTGGAGCTTTAAGGTCCCTTTCAGTCCAAACCAGGCTGGGATTCTGTGATGCTACGAACATGGGGCTGCCTTTTTTCCACCCCCGGGAAACACAAATGCATGAGCATGGTACAACCCCGTCCCCAGATCGTATGCTCCTGCAGGTAATGCTCTCCTGAGACGTGTTGGCTGGCTTGTGTTTGAGCGCTAAAGTGCATCATGCCATAGTAGAGCCACCAGAAGTGCCAAACATCATAGGGTTTTCCAAGTTAACCTATGTGGAAAATGCCAGGGATAGAGATGGTTTTCCATGGGGTTTTTCGTTCAGAACAAGCTGAATTGTGGACTGTAGAAGCCCCAGTTTGCCCACCTCCAGGGAAGGATCTGCTGGGATGTTCAGATAAAGCCTGTGTGGTGCCCAGGGCTGGATGTATCCATGGCTGTGGACATGTTCATGGCTGTATCCATGACTGTTCACTGTTTCCTGCCAGGCTCCTCTGAGCACAGCCCAGCCCCTTGAACCCTGGTGACCACCAGCACCCTGTCCCCGGAGCTGCCCCTGTGCCGGGGTGCACTGATCCTGCCCGGGCGGCTCGGCGCAGCGGCGATGGCTGCGCTGCAGGAGCTGCTCCGCACTGGAATGCGCCAGCCCCAGCTCCGCACAAAAGAAATTCCTTGGCGGTGCAGAGGGAAATGGGCTGT